TCAGCCTCCTCTAAGACCATCTCTGGCTTGCTGGAATTTGACAGTAAGACGGAGGCTGTGGAGGTTCTTACTGTTCTCAACCACTACCAGATCAGGATACCCAGTAAGTCTGTCTGTGTTCATATACTGTTCTTATACTCACTGTCCACAGCTGGATTATAGTGTATATGCACCTGAAAATATATTATGTATATAAACAATTACACTTCCCTTTCCATAATGCTGATTTACACATCTTAGCTCCTGGTATTTCATAAGCTTTTTATTTCACATGTAAGACATTGTGGAAAAAGACATAGTGTACAATATCCAACTGAATGGATATGTGCAAAGGTAGGAGAGCACAGGGTGTTTGAAAAAAAAAACCCATTTCAGATTGACATACATTCAATGTCATTAACCACAGTTAGCAATTGCATAATTGGAATGGTCTGTCAGGGCTGCTAATACTAAGTATGTTTGTGTGTGTGTGTGTGGTTTCAGATGGGTCCAACCCATACACCCTGAAGCTGTGTTTCTCCACCTCGTCTCATCTTTAAAAAGTTGCAGAGCACAAAAAGAGGTTGCTGAGCCTGATGGTGGCTGACCTCTGACCTGAGAGAGGGAGAGGGACCACGAGAGACAAGTGGAGGAGATGTAAACAAAGAAATAGGAAAGAAGAAGAGAATGAGAATGGCCTTTAAAGGTGATGAAGACGACAGAAAGAGACGTGTTAAGTAGAGAGAAGACACCCATCATCCCACCATCCAATCACAACTCAACAAGCTGACAGACTAGTGACTGTGGGAAATACTCTAATAATGTGTTCATATTGTCAAGTAGGACAACTGGAGGACACCAGAAGTCTTCTCTGCATGGTAAACTTGTCTTTGAGTTTGGACCTAGACAGACCCACTCTGAGGAATATACTGTACAAATCCACTTCAGTGTTGGTCTCTAGAATCATCTGGGCACACAGTGACTGAAATATTATCTTACTGTTTAAAAAATATAAATACAGCGTGTTGTTTTAAAATGTCATTGAACACATACTGTACAGTAAATGTGGATACAATTTTAACAGTTCTCATTCAGGGTTCATACTTTAACTTTCGTCCTGGCAGCAGCGAGGCCTACAGAGGTGTCCCTCCACTATTCAGTCAAGCACATAGTGAGATAACTCAACTACTAAGCAGTTGTTAAGTTGCTGCGGATATTCGCGGTCCAGCGGAAGGTCCGGATTTTCAGCCAACACTTTGGTGTATGACATGGTATCTGGAAAATGAATGACCATGAATATGGGTCTTTCCAAAAAGATGAATTCTGATGGCTTTAAAAATCTACTGTTATTTCTTTAGCCCCACCTTCAGCTTTCCCACCATCACCAAGTGTTCTAATCAAGACACAAGAAATATGAAAGAAATATGAACTGCACTGCACTAATGTGCACGTTGTCATGAAATATTACAGGGACTGTTTGAATCTGTGTATTATGTCTATAGATTAAAATCCAGGAGCGTTGTAGGGGAAATTCTTCCATAAT